CCCATGTCGTCCTCGAAACCCCCATGAAGAAGAACACCAAGAACAGCGGTCAAGGCCATCACGATGTTGGGGAGCACTTCATTGTTCAAGGGTTCTCAATTACAGGCTCGAGACGTGGAAGTGTAACTGTGGCAGCCAGTTTTTTAATCCCTGATTATATAAACGTGTAAAACTTAACTATCTAGTTCGTCTGCCTAGATTGAAGTGGTTTTTACCGCGTGTTGGGAGGAGGACATTGCTTTCGAGCAACGAGATACGCGAGACCCCGTGTCCCGCAGCCCGTCCCAAAATTCACCCACAAATCCCAACTTGTTGAGTCCACCCAATGAGAGTCACTGAGTATACAGGTGAATGGCGGCCGCTGGGAATCGCCCATGAGCTCCGCCACGGTTTTCTCGAAAGCCCTCCATCGCATCGAGATACATGGAGACTGCTTCCAAGTCGGCCAGATGAAAGGCACTCGTGTAAATGGAATAACTAGCTAGATTATATATAGGTACCTGAATTGCTTCTTTTGAGGAAAGTTATGACGAATCCCATGGAGGCGAGCTTGCGGACATGATCGGGCATATGACCCTGGGCAGGAAATGGAAACGCGAGAACGTGAGGCGGCTGGCAATCCATGAACGCTTCCATACACAAAACCTTGCTCATTCACTACCAACATAGATGCGACTTTTGGAGCTGCGAAAAAGAGCCAAGGAGTTGAGCGACACTGTCAAAGGAGCCGTGAAACCTGACGGAAGCTCGCACACCAGTTTTTGTCCAGGACATGGAACGGAGAGCATTGAAGTGAAAAAGTTTAATCAACTTTTGCTTGTGGTTGATCGAGTGAATACAAGTTTGCCCAGCACGTAATGCGATGTGATCAACTAGCCAGCTAATCTACTTAATTGATGACGTGCATTTGAAACAGCCAAAAAAATCCCTTCTTTGAAACTTATTTATATTTTATCAAACTCCAAATGTAGTGTTTGTACAGAAATGTGTAATGTGTAAAGTTGGAGCATACAATTGTAAATTCACAGAAGTGTGGCTTGGTGCAAAGCATGGAGAAGTCAAAAGCTATTGACACGAAATGACCTTTTATGTTGCAGTGTTTTCTATTAGAGTTACATGAGATAAGCATTGGCTGAGTTAAGCAGTTTGGTTAACAAGACTATTGTCCTAGTAATGGCATTCCAAAATATTCAATCTGGGAAGCTTATGGAAAACTTGAGTTTCATGAACATACTTGTTTTATATAAGAAGAATTGTCAATGAGATCATGTCAAGATTATCAATGTTGGTTATTTAGAATAACAAATGAAATTGGTTTAATATAAAACATTATTTAGAATATTTAAGTATATTTTATTTTTAATTGAACATAATTTTAATGTTAATACTCTTACTCACTATATTTAATTTTTAGTTAAATTTTTTTTTATAAACATTAACATATTTAAAAATGATTATTTAATATGTGAATTAATACACAACCATAAAAAATTATTGCCACTAGAAAGCTTATTAATTCAACAGGAATAAGAATTTATGGCTCCTTTAGAAGGCAATCAAAAAGAATGTAAATAAAGATTAATCACATTAACAAATTAACTTTACATAATAAAAATGTTTAACTTTTTTAAAGAAGATAATTCTTTATTAAATTTAGCTATATAAATCTAATGTTGATGGGCTCAATTAGTAAATTTAATTATTCTTAATTAATTTTTAAACTTAATTATAACATATTTATTCCTTAAGAAGAATTCAAGGAATAGAATTAATTCAATAACGTAGATAAAAGAAATTATTTTTTATATAATATTCATATCATTTAGGAAAACTAAACTTACTAAAAGTTAATCTTTATACATTCAAATATATGAATTAAAATTCCCAAAATTAAAAAATTTATAAAAATAATTAATGAAATACTCACAAAGTCACATATATGCAATCTACTAAAAATCAATTCTAACAAATGTATAATTTTAAAACCCTTGTCTTTTTTTTATTTTTATATTAAAATAAAATTATTAAACTATATGAAATATTAAAACTGATATTGAAGTATAAATAAGTTTTATAGGATGTTTTTCTATGAGTGTTATTAAGCACTAGTTAAACCATAAGAAACCCTATTAAATAAATTTCTTATATAGCTATATAAATAAAATACCAGCATAACTTTGAAAAATTACTTTAAAATATTGTTTTGTTTTTTAAGGGTGTGTTTAAAAATGATTTAGATAACTATTATTTTATGGTAGGGTTATATAAAATGAATTTATTTACAAAGGTTTTGGTCATTTAGTATTATTAGCTGTTGTAGTGACAATATTAATTATAGATAATAATGTTTATATAAGCTAATATACAACACAATTTGTTATGTGTTACTTCTTGTTTAATATTATTATTAATTAAGTTTATTAATGTTTAATTTAATTAAGAATTCTTAAAATTTTCTAGAAAAGAAGTTTATATGAAAGCCAAATGAGTATTTTAAATGTAACATTTTTCTTCAATCTCTATGAGTAATCATGTAGTTATATCTTTATAAGTAATCAGATAGCTTCCATATACTAATCATATTATAAGTTTTCACAGCTTTACTATTTCATACTTTAGAGTGTTAGAGAATTAGTTATAAAACTTATCTTAAAAATGTATGTTTGTTGAAAGTTTATTATTATAAGCAAATTTATAATTTATAAACACAAAATTAATCTTATGATAGTAAATTAGATATTTTGCTCTTTGCCAAGATCATGGCTCCACTTTCAAGTCCATTTCACGTGTATGCCGAAACAATGAGCATCCAGGTGAAGGCATTCTCACTCGCATTGGGCATGGCATCGAAACAGCTCTCGCACAGCCACACCCGCCGTAGGCATCGATGAGCTTGTTGTGGGGGGCGGATCCTTGCTCGCACTATGGAGATGGAGACGCAGGATCGCAGGAGCTATGGCCATTCTAGCAAGCGCGAGGTAGATCAAACTCTATCAAAGTTTCCTTTTATTTTGGAGATAGCTAAGCTCTACTTACGGACTAAAGAACTGGTTGCCACATTTACACTTCCAAGTCTCGGGCATGTAGTTTGAGAACCCAACAATGAAGTGCTCCCCGACTTCGCGATCGTCTTGATTATCGCGCTCTTCACGCGGCTGTTCTTGGTGTTCTTCTTCGCGGGGATTCGAGGACGACATGGGTGTTTGCACCGCCTGGCAAGGAACGCAAGCGTTGCACTTGTTATTGCAGCTCGGGGGGCTCGATCCGATCTTCTTGTCCTCCCCCAGAGCCTTGACGAGCTGACACGGTGTGCAAGAGGCGCATTTGTTCAGGCAGCTCGGAGGCGTTGATCCAACCACTGTCTTGTCCATAGCTGTGCTCGATGTTCTCGGTGCTCTTGCTGCCTTGTGCTTCTGCGAAAGAGATAGACGATTGATCACCGTACGTATTGATAGATGATCCAGACACAAACCTGGAAGGATTCTTTGGCGCCGCTCCTCGCGGATGGCTCGTCACTGCAGCATAGTTTCTCTAGAGCACAAGGCGAGTGTGAGTCACAAGATTATCGGGTTGCAGCTCTTACCATCGCTATTGAATCTGCCGTGAGCCAGGATCGCTTGCAGCGCGAGCAAAACAAGAACAATCTCGCAGAGATATCGCCTTGGCATGTTGCACATCGAGTGATCTGAAGCGGCGTTGACCTCTCTCTAGCTAAAGAACCGGTGAAAAACAACACAAAAGAGGAACACGAACGCTCGCGTCCAAGCACACACAAACACTCGCAGACACACTAGATACTATAAACCATAGCCTTCGAAACTGTAAGAACAAAAGCTATTAGCACCGCAGATGAACTAGAGCCTAGAGAGGATCGATCGTAATCTAATCACGGGTATAAATAAGCTAGAAGATGCGCTCAATGACATGACCATATTCTTGTCTATCCCTCTCTCGATTTTAATGGTTTCTTCTGCTTGAGGTGATGGCGGCCATTGCATGGGGATGTGAGAACCTTTGCTCCTCTCCAGGAAAGAGAGAAAGTTTTTAATCTTTCCGGCAGCTTTGAGTTGTGTGAAATCCAGCTGCGCTTAACTTAGCAAATTGCGCTCACTTTCCCATGAATGGATCCTCAAGACAAAATGGTGGAGGATGATCCCCACGGGGAATTCTTTCGCATACTACTACTAATAATAATAGTAATATAATAATTATATATAAATTATAAATATAAATAAATAATAAACAAGGACATCGTTCAGTACAAAATGTTGGTCCACCCCTCTTGGATCAGTCCACCACGCAGCAAGCCCATCACCTCAAAGAGCTTACTTCAGCTTTTATAAATGAAAAGATGTGACACAGCAAGCCTTTGCCGCCATAGCTGAAGATTCATGGTACAGCTTTGAAAGTAACCAATGTACCCAAGTGTCATGCTTAATCTAATCCGGCCAGCCCGCAACCATTTGTTTATAGTTCACGCACGCTGAGACACATACCGGGAATGGGCATCTGTAAAGGCTCGGCTTCTTGAAACTGAGGTTGTAACATTGTTTATGGCGAAGCTTGCCTCAAGGACCATGGGGGCGATTTGAAAAAATGGCCTCTCGCCCCTCCTCGGCCCAGAGCACAAGAAATTACGCGGACGAAGGAGGATGATACTGGAAGAGTTAAAAACTCCAAGAGAGAGGAATAGCCTAGCTTTTAGTTGCTGGTCAAATTCTCCTCCGAGCTGCCGAGAGAAGGTCCATTTTTGTGTGGCTGTGTTTTTCTTCTGCCAGGCCAGGTCTTGACAAGAAATCAAAGCTCCACGCTGATTGACACTTGTTTACTACGACTATGACTACGAATCAATTTTTGAGAGAGAGAGAGAGAGAGAGAATTTCTTTGATATTTGGACTAAGATAAGCTATTTTCTTCGATACTTGGCATTGATTGTGTTGAGTCAAGGGTAAAAGAAGTGTGCGTTGGCAGCCCACCAGCACCTCTCACTAAAAAGAGCAAGAGATAAATTTACAAATTCGTTTGTTAATAGTAGTCCACAGTGATTTAACAAGAGAACGAGTCTCTCTGGGCCAGATCGTGTGGAAGGAGATCCAAAACTTAAGAAGGTGACGATGACCAAGGAGGAGGAGAACGATCGCGGAAGAAAAAAAGAAAACGTAGATAAGAAAAGAGAAATCTCTCAAGGCGTGGCTGCTACTTCCGATGTTGGAGTTGATCCAGCAGCGACGGTAGCGGTAGAAGCAGCAGCAGCAGTAGTAGTAGTACTTGTCATCGTAGAAACTGGCATCGCGGGCGAAGAACTAGAGCTAGAGGAGGAGGAAGTTATAGAAACCGAGGAGAGCATCCCCGCCGCCGCCGCAACTCCGCTTCTCAAGTCCACGACGAGCACGCTGATGTTGTCGCCGCTGCGGCGATTGTAGGCGAGCTTGGTGAGGTAGGCGGCGGCGACGCGGGCGTGGGAGGTCTCGGTGCCGTGCGTGTGTGCCGAGAGAGCGTCGAGGTTGCTGGTACACCGCCCCGCCAGGCACATCCTCGTCACCTCGCACACTTGCTCGTTGGTGAGAACGTCCCACAAGCCATCGCTGGCCAGGACTAGAAACTCATCCTCGTCGCTCCTCACCACGCACTTGACGTCCGGGTTTGGGATGACGAAGCGGTCGAGGTAGCGATCGCCTGGAAAAATAAATGCGACTGTCACTCACTCCGAAAACAATCCACAAGCAAGCATGCGAAGAACAAGCGAAAGATGGAAGAACAAAGATGGAACTAATGCGAAGAACAAGCAAACGATGGAACTTATAGCAAAGCAAAGCGAAAGATGGCAAAGCTCACCAATCGCTCTGGACATGGCCAGCATTCCCATGACTCGGTAGCCGTTCCAGAAGATGACTCGACCGCCGGCGTCCTCGATGCGTTGCATCTCATCCTCCTTTTCGGGCTGGAACACGAGAGATCAACGCAAAGTTGGGTGTGTCGAACGTACCTTGTGATCCACCGAGAGTGGAATGGCCCGACCACCGCGGCAAAGCACCACCCGCGAGTCCCCGCAGTTTGCGATGACAATCCGGCAGCAGCTCACCACGGCGACGACCGCGGTGGATCCGACCGTCTCGCAGCAAACGCCCGTGTTCACCTCGCACTTGTCGCAGTTGCCTGGCCGCAGGCACATCGAGTCGATCTCGCCGTCAACTTTGAGGAAGCACGACTCCAGAGCCTTCTCCCACACGGTGTCCCAGCACGTCACCTCGTTTGCACTGGCAAACCCGGCCAGAGCTATCGACTCTTTGATCTGTTCCACTAGAGCGACGTGGAGACGATCCTTGCAAAAGTGTGCTACCTGGAAAGACGATCAAGAACAAACAATGAAGAAGAGTGCCACTACCTGGGATCCGCCATGCCCATCGTAAACACCGAAGAAGTGGTGCGAGCTATGGTGACCATCTTGGCTGGAGTGACGGGCAATGTCACAGGGAAGTGACAGGAAGTCTCCAGCGATGGTAGCAGCGTCTTCCATCTCCTTGCGGCGTCCGATGAAGGACACCAATCCATAGCTCGGGAAGCCATCGTTGGCAGCCACGCAATCGCCACCCTCGCCACCCTCGCCACCCTGGTCGCGCGACGCCTGTTCTTCCGGGAGTAACCTGTGCTGCTGCGTTTGATCGAGCAGCGCGCCGGAGCTCCCAGCGCTGCTCAGGCTGCTGCCGCTACTAGTCCTGCTACTGGCATTCCTCCTGTCGTGTCTCTCGGAAGAGATGAGATCGCTCTCGTAGGCTGGCGGCGTTGACAAAGATGGTGTTGTCTCCGAGGACGATGGAACGAGCCCAGACATTCCGGCCGCGATATCACATACCCCCAGCGGCATCCATCACCACTACACATTCCTCCTCCTCTTCTCCCATCTCTCATCGTTGTTCACTCGCGGGAGCTCGGACGACACCTCCAAATGCCGCCACTGGGCATTTGCTGCGACCCTGCGAATCCAGCCTAAAATGCTTCCACCCGGCGAATCCAGCCCCGGGGATCAAAAGTACGCCCGCCGCATGTCCTGGAGCGAGCCCACGCTGCGATTCCAGTCTAGTGGAGCAGATCACGAGCCCTGGGGGAGGAATTCCGTGGAACCCATCTGGGATTACGGCGGAGCTGGGATTGGGACGAGTCTCACCTGATTTGGAGCGCGCCCAATGCAGCCCAATGCGCTGCTCGCCTCGCCATTGCCGCGGCTCCAATCCCTAAAGCCCAGGAGGAGGGCGCCGGATTCGCCCGCGAAGAATTGGCACTGGGAGCAAGAAAGAAACGAGGGCTTGTGCTAGAGATGCGAGGAGAGGAGAGAAAAAGAGAGAGAGAGAGAAGAAAGGGATGGGAAAATGGGGTGTGTCAGTGTGTGTGCACGAGAGAACGCTGTGGAATCCGCTGGAAGCGAGCGAGCAAGCGCAAGCAAGCAAGCAAGCACACGAGAAAGCGAGGAGAGGAGGAAAAAAAAAAGGAGAACCTCAAGCTTAGCTCCTTCTCTCTCTCGCGCGCGCTCCACAGCCCAGGAATCCCTCACACACTACAAATCTCTTGGATTGAAGAACTCCCTATGACCTTTCTCTCGCTCACACACACACACACACACACAACACACACTCTCTCTCTCTTCTCTCTTTCTTTTCTTTTTTTTTTTCCTTCGGCCAGGCAGCCTCCTTTTCTCTTTCTGGCTAAGCAAAGCGCGATTAGGCGCAAATCCACGTATGTTGGTCGATGCCACGTCCGCCGTATCCTTCTGGTATTTCCAGGCGACGCTGTAATGCATTGATTGGTCAAACGGGGCGGGTACAAAATGCATTATCCCGGAACCATGACAACGAATTGTTACCACCCTCGAGCTTTTAAATGGGTGATTTTACCCCTGTTGGAATATTCGCCAACCAACCCCGTACATGCACGACGGAAATTTCAGCCCACAGAAATGAAAATGCCGCACTTTTGCGATAGAATTCTAATCTTTGCGTTTTAATCTTTGACTTGCGAGTATATGAAATTATTGATTTGTATATTGTCCCATGCTGTGCTGTTGTTGTTTGCTTGCTCTATGTTTGCTGTGATAGCAACAGCAACTTGCCAGCAAAACTTTTGCCAAAAGGGATCAACAACACAACAATTGAGAGATGGATTGATCCACTTTCTCCCCTCCCTGCCTGGATGGTTTTTGATCCATCCATGGTTTTTTTTCTTATCCCTTTTAGTTCTCTTTTTTACCTTTATTTATATTCTATTCTTCCTGACAGCGTCGAATTGTGTATAGATTTTCCAGACAGGACAGAATGTTTGCAATTGGACTTGGTTGATCTCAAGTATCAGCTGGGAAATTTTTTTTTAAAAAGTTTCTTCTTACATGGTCAGATCTTTCGTACAATGCAACAGCCATGACTTGAATCATCGGGGATTCACATCTCCTCCTCCTCGAGAGCTCGTGATTTGGATTCGCGATCTTTTCAAAGCAGTGCCCACTCCTCCCATGCTAAAAAGTACAGGGTTTAGACTTAGTAAATTATATTTCTTGTCATGGACTTTGTGGATCAACCAACATGACAAATAACCATTGTAAATCTCCCCCAAATAATAAATACATGGTAAATTTGCAAAAAATGTGCTTCGGTCCATCTTCCCATTCCCAAGCGCAAAGCCATGCAAAGCGATCAATCTTTTACTACGTACTATTTTTTAGTTCGTGAAATCATACCATGTGTCGTCATCATCGGCTGCGTCACCTTTTCTTATATGTTAATCCAGGTAATTAGTTTATTCACTAATTTGCAGTTCCTAGAAGTAAACAACGCGACAATGTGAAACATGCCCATATACCCACAGCTGGCATTTGGTTGACGCATTATTCGTTTAATCACGCTAACCCTTCCCGTTTTGCATCTCATCGTTTGGAAAGAGACGTCTTCGTCCTCGATTCCATCACACTAGGGTGGTGTGTTGTTGGTTTGGTGGTCAGAAAAAATAAGATCCCAGGAATCTTTGCGCGGCGGCTATTTGATCCATCACTCGTGTGTGTCTGTGTTTGTTGTTGGTGGAGAGATCTCTCCAGTCTTGGGTCCCAAAGATAAATTTGGGAATTTTTCTTGATTTCTTGGGAGAGACGTGTTGGGTGTAGAGGATGATTCATCAATTGGAGGGCACCATCTGGAAAGGAGAAAGCTACGAAAGGGGGCGATGCCGTGTGCGTGGCGAAAAGTGGTGGGGATGAACAGTGACGCTGGCTTTCTGCCTGGGAGCAAGGAAGAAGGATCTATGCATTACAGGCTTATGATGTCATCAAATCAAGAGCTTTAAGAGAGGGGAAACTAAATGCTAGGTGGATGGGCGACCCAGCTGCCCATCTCAAGAGAGGCGAGATTGGGAGCTTGGGCATGGCGAACCGGGTTCTCTCCGACAGCTCTAACAGCGATCCGCTGAACTGGAATTCGATGATATCGTCTTACGCCCGAGTTGGGCAGGTCGAGCGGGCGAAGGAGATTTTTGACCAGTGCCCGTGCCGGGACGTGACGACGTGGACGGCGATGCTGGCTGCGTATGCCCAGAACGGGCATCTGCAAAACGCCCGAGAGGTGTTTGAGGGCGTCCCGGTTAGAGACGTGATCACGTGGAATGCCATGTTGGCTGCGTACGCCCAAAGCAGCAAACTTAATCAGGCCGAAGGGGTGTTTGACACGATGCCGGAGCGGAATCTTCTGACGTGGACCTCGATGCTGTCAGCCTATGCCCATTGTGGGCATCTCGATAAAGCTGAGAAAACGTTTACGCACATGCCAGAAAGAAACGTGGTATCTTGGAATGCTCTACTTTGCTGCTACTCCCAGCACGCCATCTTTGAAGATGCAAAGCGCACGTACGAAAAAATGCCGGAGCACAACCAGGTGACGTGGACATCGATGATCTCTGCACTTGCCCGGCGTGGGCATCTGTCGGAGGCGAGTGCCTTGTTCAGCGGCATGCCGGAGAAGAACCTGGTAAGCTGGAACGCGATGCTCTCGTCTTATTCCCAGGCCGCCGACGTGGAGGGCGCCAAGCGCTTGTTTGATGAGATGGCGTCGAGGGATTTGGCGTCGTGGAATGCCATGCTTACTGGATATGGCCAAAACGGTCACTTGGACGAGACAAAGAACGTATTCAATGACATGCCGAAGCACAACTTAATCTCGTGGAACGCTTTGTTGTCTGCGACTGCGCTGAATGGTGGCTTGGACGAAGCAAAAGAGGTTTTCAAGCGCATGCCGGAGAAGAATCTTGTGTCCTGGACGACGATGCTTGGAGCGAGCGCTCAAAACGGGCATCTCCGCGATGCAAAGAAGATCTTCGATGCGATGCCAAACCATAGCTTGGTAACTTGGAACTCCATGTTGGCTGGATTCGTCCAAGCTGATCATCTGGAAGAGGCGAAGTGTCTGTTCGATCGAATGCCATTTGGGGACTTGGTCTCATCGACGAGCATGCTACACGCTTATGCATCGCGCGGGTACGTGGAAGAAGCTAGCCGGTTCTTTGCAAACATGCCAGAGCTTACCGTAGTTACTTGGACGGCCATGCTTACTGCCTACGCCCAGAATGGCCACATCGAGCAAGCTCTTGGATTGCTCGGGAAAATGCCCGAGAAGAATGTGGTCACTTGGAACTCGCTGCTCTGCGGCTTCTCGCAAAACGGGATGCTGCGACACGCCGAGTTTGTTTTTGAAGAGATGGCCGACAGGGACTCTGTGTCGTGGAACACCATCCTTGCGGCTTATGCAAAGTGTGGGCGGTTCTTGCAGGCCAAGAGTTTGTTCGATCGATTACCAGAGCAGAACCTTGTTGCTCTGAATGCCATGCTCGTCGCTTACTCTTGTAATGGACTCTTTGGCGATGCTCTCGACTTTTTCAGCACCATGAAGCTCTTGGCGATGCCGGACGAGACGAGCTTTGTGTCCGTTTACGTTGCGTGCTGTCACGGGGGCACCGTGGAGATTGCTATCGGTTTCTTCGTTTCGATGGTGGTGGACTTTGGGATTAGACCTGGGAAGCAGCACTTTTGCTGTATGATCGACGTGCTAGGACGGGCTGGACACCTCGACGAGGCCCACGATCTGGTAAAAAACATGCCTTTTGTGCCGGATGCTCTGGAATGGAGATGTGTTCTTGGAGCTTCCAAGAATGATCTCCGTGGAGGGAGTCGAGTAGCAGGGGACGTAGCTTCTCTACAAACAGAAGAAGCTGCAAACTATGTGCTGGTGTCAAACTTCCTTGCTCCAATCAAACTACCTCGTTTGCAAACAACGAGGTAGAAACAAGAGTTGGATGCTGCTGGCTATGGTTCCCGAGAAGGATCGAGAACAATGTTGCAAGTCAATCCTTCCGCTAGCTCCACGCCCTCCAAATCTTTGGAGGAAAGCTGATACTCTGGCTTTACTCTTCTCACCGGAATAGTGATGGAGTAAATGGTGCCAAGCTCGGAATCGGTCGTCACGTTTAGCTGGACCTTCTCCTCCGACTCAACCTCGACAAAATGAGACATTGCTCCAACAACGTTGGAGACGATCATCCGCTTCGCTGCGTCGCTTACAGCACACCTATCTGCGATGAGAACCATCTTCAACCGCTGCTTCGCGATGTTGGCACTTGTCTCTGCGCTAGAGTTTGAAGGCGGGAAGAGAACTTGCCAGGCAAGCAACAAACGCTCCCAGAATGTTGGAACTCTATTCGAGCAGCTTTGCTCTTGGTGTGACACTGAGCACCTTGTAGAGTTTCTCTTGGCTCTTGGTGTGAGTCGGCGGAATCCCGTGTGGATCTGGAAATGCGCTCGTTCGATGTATCCTACAAACAGATGCTCATACATACCATGGAAGATCTTCGAGTGGCTGATCGTTCCGAAGTAGCAGGCTGCCAGATTGTTGTCAAGGCCGCCATCACCGAAACCCTCTTCTGGGATTGCGATAAAAAAAAAAAAAAAAGAACAAGAGTTCTACAGTGTAAGGCGGGAACCATGTAGAGACATGTGTTCCATGCCTTGGAAAAAATCTTCAACGAACAACTTTACCAAAGATTTTCTTTAGAGAGATTTTTTATCCTGCCATGTTTGCTACTAATAAGTATGCTGGAGCGTATTTGCTGTTGAAGCCAAGCACACATTTGCTAGCTCGATTAGCGAGCTCCATGTTTTTGTGTAAGCCGCAAGACGCAAGCACACATGTCCAGTCCAAATCGTCGCCCACATACGGCATGGTCGCGATTAAATCCTCGGCTTCTTTCAGGTAACCGGCTCGACCCAGCAAATTGGCCATGCAGCAAAAATGCTGCTTTGTTGGAACCAAGTTGTAGTCACTGCTCATGGACAGGAAGTATTTCCAGGCCGAGAAGAGATTACCACTGTGGCTGAGTGCCAAGAACACACACACGAAAGAGATCTCGTCTGGGAGGAGCGTTAAGGCCAACGAGTGAAGCAGGGTGGCGAGGGAATCGATTTCTCCGCGCTGGGCATAGCCGGCAAGGAATGAGTTCCACGAGAAAGAATCTATTTCTGGCATTTTCGTGAAGAATTGCCAAGACTTTTGGAGCTTCCCGGCTTGGATGTAGCCCGAGAGCATTGCGTTCCAGGAGATCGAATCTCGAAAGGGCAACGCATCAAATAAGAACTTAGCTTCACAGATATGCCCATGTTGGGCATATGCTGACACCATTGCATTGCACGAGGCAATATCGTGCTCTTGCATGGAATGAAACATGTTTTCTGCTTCTTCTGTGAATTCGAACAAAGCGTATGCACACAACATTGCCGTTGAAGATATCAAACTTCTGACTTTCAGGCGATCAAACATGCATTTTGCTTCTTCCAAATGGCCTTTCTGGGCATATGCTTCCACCATAATAGTCAAGCTTACTTCGTTTAGAATTGGAGTACGATCGTAGATTCTTTTGGCATCCTCAAATTGATTGTTTTGAACAAGCATCGCCAATACAGTGTTACGCGTAGTCAAATCATGCTCTTCCATCTGGTTAAACAAATTAAGCGCTTGGTCAACGCGTCCATTGTGGCCATATGCTGATATCAGCGTGGTCCACGACACAAGGCTGTGCTCTTTCATCTTGTCAAACATTGTCTTGGCTTCCTTGACGCGGCCATTTGCAGAGTAGGCAGCTAACATTGCATTCCACGTAACCACATCCCGCTCTTCCATATTCTCGAAAATCACCTGAGCTTCGTCCAGATGCCCTTTCTGGGCATAGCTTATTAGCATGACAGTCCACGACACCAAATCTCTCTCTGGCATCGTATCAAGTATATTCCTTGCTTTTGAGATTTGGCTTCTGTCAAAAGCATACCCAGAGAGCAATGCATTATAAGATCCCACGTTTCTTTCTTTCATTGTTTGGAAAACTTCCACCACCTCTTTCAAATGCCCTCTATCGGCATAGGCAGAGAGAATCAAGTTCCACGAGACAAGGCTATACTCCGGCATCGTGCTAAAGATTCCTTTAGCTTTTTCCATATGCCCGTTTCGGGCATATGCGCCAAGGATAGCTGCCCAAGTCACTTGGTTTGTTAGAGGGATGGAATCAAAGAGTTTTTCCGCATCTCTAATATGCCCATTGATGGCATATGAAGACAACATTGCGTTATAAGACACAAGGTTTGGATCTGGCATCTGGGTAAAGATCCGCTCCGCTTGCTCGAGCTTTCCGGCACGGGCATACGCGGAGAGCATCGAGTTCCAAGAGAAACTGTCCTTGTGAAGAATAGAGTCAAAGACGTGTATAGCCTGCTGCAAATGCCCAAGCTGGGCATATTTCTGGAGCAGCATGTTAGCCATCTTGAGGTCATCTGGAAGGTGGTGTTTGATGGTAGAGTGAAGACGAGCGAGAGCGTCTACGCTACTGCAAAGCCTAATGGAACCGTAGCATTGGGTTCTATCCATTGGAAGGTAAAGAACCATTGACTTCGGTAAGATCTAAGGGGAAATATCCTGTGGAATATGCGTAAGGGCTGGAATCACGAGATGTCAAAAGAGAGGTAAAGCAGGGACTTAGCGCTAAGCTAGGATACAAGGAGCGATACTGGGCAAACCCAGCAGCGCAAGCAATTCTCCAGGTTTCCTCGATTTTTTTCTCTCGAGCGAGTGAGAGAATGTGGAGCAGTGATCCAGGAGCTCTTTCTCCCAGCGCCCTATTTTTCGCAGTGGGTATGAGCTGAATTGGTGCTGAGAGCTGCAGAGAAAAAAAAATAGTTTTGGTTCTTCTTCCAGTCCATGACTCAAGATTTAGCTGCGCCGGCAGTAGTGGTGTGAGAGGCTGCTGACTTCCAGATTCCAGGGCGCCGCCACCGCCACCATGATCAAGTGGCCGCAAGGACTCGCAAAGTTCATGCTACTATGCATCGCGCTCTTCACAGGTTTGCTCCTGGGGGTCCTGGCCAGCCTTCACATGTCCGACTATCTCAACCTCCGGCGTGGTTTTCTCTCGGCAAATCCAGGCAGTGGCTGCTACACCTCCTCCTCCCCGATCGACAGCTTGAAGTTCGCCAGGGAGTGGCTGTGGGGGGGATTTCCCGTGAAGCACAACGTTTCCGATCCGGAGCTCTTGTGGTTGGCTTCGTTGGCTCCACTGCGCCAGGGTCCGCCAGTGAAGAAGATCCGCAAGGTGGCGTTTTTGTTCATGACGAGGGGGCCTCTCCCTCTGGCCCCGCTGTGGGAGATGTTCTTCCGGGGGAACGAAGGCCGCTACTCGATCTACATCCATGCGCTGCCGGGCTTCGCCATGGATCTTCCGAAAACTTCGGTTTTCTATGGTCGGCACATTCCAAGCCAGGTATGGCGACAAGCTCTCTCACTGTTCTTTTTCGCGTCCTTGTTTGTTTGGCTTGCTAGAGTGTGTTTGCTATACCATCTTTTCTCCGTGAGGTAAGTTCGTGGATGATTTTCTCGGTGTGTTTCCAGGCCTCTTTTCCTCAAAAGTTGATATTTTTCTTTCTCCACGCTCTCTGGTTTTGATCCAGACAGTGAAGACCTCCAATATCTCGTTTTTGTGTGTTCTTCGAACTTCGTTTACTGAAAAGCTGATGGTTTTCTTCCTCCACACTCCTTGGTTTCGATCCAGAGAGTGAACATGGATGGATCACACCTCCAAAATCTCGTTTTTGTGTGTTCTTCTTACTCGGGAACTAAGTGTTTGTGCAACTTCGTTCTTCCAGGACACGCAGTGGGGAGAGATCACAATGTGTGACGCCGAGAGGCGGCTCGTAGCCAACGCTCTCCTCGACCACTCCAACCACAGGTTCGTGCTCCTCTCGGAGAGCTGCGCCCCGCTCCACAACTTCACCACTTTCTACCGCTACGTGATCAACTCCCAGCACAGCTTCGTGGGAGTTTTCGACGATCCGGGCCCGTTTGGACGCGGGCGATACAGCACAAACATGCTGCCCGAGGTCACGCTCGAGCAGTGGAGGAAAGGCTCGCAGTGGTTCGAGATGGAGCGGAAGCTGGCGCTCCATTTGGTGGCGGACAACAAGTACTATCCAAAGTTTCGGGATTTTTGCCGGCCCGCGTGCTACGTCGACGAGCACTACATCCCGACGATGCTGAGCATCGAGTTTGGCTCCGCGCTGGCCAACCGGAGCTTGACGGCGGTGGATTGGTCTCGGGGTGGCGCGCACCCGGCCATGTTTGGCCGCGACGACGTGACTCCAGAGTTTTTGGACAGGTTCCGGCGCGCTGGAGATTGCTCCTACAATGGCCACACCGTCGGTACGTGCCTCTTCTTTGCGAGGAAGTTCTCGCCCAACGCCTTGGAACCGCTGCTCCGGCTTTTGAGAGATCAAATCTCTTCCATTTGAGCTTCGCTCCTCGCAAAACTAATCTTTTTCTTCACACTTTTCTTCTCCAGTGTCGTCGTGTTCTTGGACGTGAAGAGGAAAAAACTAACTGACAAGTCTTCTCTTTCGGAGGACAAACTAAGAGCTCGTCTTGTTCTTGATGGAATCTCGGTGTTTGCTTGATTCCTTGGGTATTTTTTTATCTTCAAGGTGGAGGCCACTTTGTTGGGTCACTCAAAATCTCTCGCAATGGTGCGGTAGTGTCCACTCGTCACGACGATGGCACCGGCAATTCTCGCTCCTTGTGGAGTCTCCGCAAGACCCACGAATCCTTTGCCTTGTTTTGGAGCTCCAAGCAAGCAGAGATCCGTGCGTCTTGGCACCCACGCCGGTTTTGCTGCGGCGGCTGTTTCCACGAGCCAAGCTTCCGTCTCGGCAGCTCCTAGCGATGGAAGCCAGGGATTCTTCGCGGAGAAGAGGTACGATGCGATTGTGGTTGGCGCTGGAATCGGGGGCTTGGTTGCAGCAAGTCAACTCGCAATCCGTGGCGCTTCGGTGCTGCTGCTAGAGAAGTACGTGATTCCTGGTGGAAGTGCTGGGTTTTTCAAGCGAGATGGCTACACTTTCGATGTTGGATCGTCCGTCATGTTTGGTTTCAGCGACAAGGCAAGTGGACAAAGTTTGTTCTTGAGAAGCGTTCCAACTCTTTTTTGTTCTTGCTCCATCCAGGGGTCGATCAATCTGATAACTCGTGCCTTGGCTGCTGTCGGACGAAAGTTGGAGCTCATACCCGATCCCACCACTGTCCACTACCATATGCCAAACAACTTGTCCGTGAGAGTTCATCGAGACTACGAGGATTTCATCGGCGAGCTTGTCGACCAGTTTCCACACGAAGAGAAAGGAATACGAGGCTTCTACGGAGAATGCTGGAAGGTTTTGTTTGCTCGCTTTTCGTTGTTTCCTCGTCGACGAACCATCCATGCACAGGTTTTTAACGCATTGAATTCGCTGGAGCTTAAATCTCTCGAGGAGCCGCTCTACCTTTTCGGCCAGTTTTTCAGAAACCCACTGGCTTGCTTGACTCTTGGTGAGTTTAAAAACTCGATTCTAGACATTGGTTTTTCTCATTTTTTGTTTCGCGCAGCGTACTATCTTCCCCAAAATGCTGGTGATATTGCGAGGAAGTACATCAAAGATCCAGTTTTGCTGTCGTTTATAGATACCGAAGTAAGCTTTAGAACTTTTTTTTTTTCCAGTTTCGGCTTAACTGTGATTTTGTTCTAGTGCTTCCTCGTCAGTACCGTCGACGCGTTGTGTACACCAATGATCAATGCGAGCATGGTAACACTTCTTTCCAAAGAAGACGAACAGATTATAGCAAACACTCTTTGCTTTGTAGGTGATTTGCGATCGACACTTCGGAGGGATCAACTATCCCGTTGGAGGTGTCGGATTGATAGCACAAGAGCTGGCAGACGGCCTGATTGAGAGAGGAGGCGAAATTCGCTACAAGTCCAACGTGAAGAAAATCTTGATGGAGCAAAACAAAGCGGTGAGCTTTCACTCTTTTCGTTCCACTTTGTATATATTTTTTCCTTCTGGCGCTTCTGTTGGTTTGCAAGATTGTTTAACGAGTGTGAGATCGCTTCAGGTGTTCAGGTTGGCGTGCAACTAGCCGATGGAACACGATTACTTGGCAAAACAGTTATCTCCAATGCTACGCGATGGGATACTTTTGGTACTGTTTTCGACTATCATGGTGAATTTGGTTTCTAGAATATGACCTTGCGTTTGCTTCGATCACCAGAAAAGCTGCTCGATTCTGAAATGCCAGACGAAGAACGACGCTTCCAGAAAGTCTACAAGAAAGCTCCATCGTTTCTCTCAATACATATGGGAGTGAGAGCCGAAGTTTTGCCTCAAGGAACCGAGTGCCATCATCTCGTTCTCGAGGTATGCTACTCGGGCTTTTCATTTTTCCTAGCTTGAGTCTTTGGTTTTCTCTTGTAGGACTCGTGGGATAACCTCGAGAAGCCTTATGGTACGATCTTCTTGAGCATTCCCACTGTTTTGGATCCCTCGCTAGCTCCAGAGGATCGCCATATTCTTCACATATTTACCACCGCATGGGCCGATGATTGGCAAGTACGTGGAGCTCCATAGCTTTCACACAAGCTTTCAAAGGAAAGAACTAAAATTTCTGATGATATCGCAGGGGTTAAGTAGCTCGGAGTACAATGACAAGAAGGAGGCTGTGGCCGATGTGATCGTTAAGAGACTGGAAGCGAAACTATTTCCCGGTCTCAAGGACGCAACAGTTCTTCGAGAGGTACGAGCAGGCTCTCAAGTTTCCTTCCTTGTTTTCATTTCTCTCACGCTAGACTTTGTAACTTTCGTGTGTCAAAGGTCGGGACGCCTAAAACTCACAGACGTTTTCTCGCTCGAGACCAAGGAACTTACGGACCAATCCCTGTTGGAAAACCCAAAGGACTTCTCGGGATGCCATTCAACACAACAGTGAGTTTGCGAAAAACCTCTAGAGCTTTTTCTTCTGGAAGATAGGTTGGATTCATCACAGTCGATGTTCCAGGCAGTGGAAGGACTATACTGCGTTGGAGATAGCTGCTTTCCCGGCCAAGGAGTCATCGCGGTAGCCTTCTCTGGAATGATGTGTGGTCACAGAGTGGCTGTAGATCTCGGTAAGTTCTTCCTTTTCAATCGATCGAAGCAAGAAATCTAAGCGAAAAACTTGACAAAAATCTTGGGTTTTCCTGCCAGGCATCGAGCAAGGCTCACGGATTTTGGACCAAGCGCTGAGCAAAACGCTGTCATGGTTTAGAACGCTGGCTTAAACGCGATAGCTTAATCTAATAAATGTGTTTACTCTTTAATCTCTCGAAGTTTAGGGTTTATGTTGGAAGCGATGGTAGAAGCTGCTGGGATGGCGCTAGTAGCGAGTATAGATTGAATTGGCGCGGCCGATCCGGTCAATGCGGTGCGATGATCTTCCCATTGATGAAGCTGGCCACTCTGGCATTGCGGACGCTGAGCAAGCCCGTGGCGAATCGGTTGAAGAAGACGGCGGCGCATCATCCCAGGTTTCGCGAGTCGATCAGCAAAATGGCGCAGGTATGGCGGTGGCATTGCGATATTTCGCTCGAAATCTCTGGCTCCTCGCGCTTGTTGTCGCGATTTCTTGCAGCTCAACCACAGGTTTAGCGTGAATCTGCAAAGGCGGATCTATGGCCACGCCACGGATGTGGAAATCCGGCCGCTCAACGAGGAGAAGGCCGTGCAAGCCGCGTCGGAGATGCTGGGCGAGTTCTTCATTTTTGGGGTCAGTAAAGTGCCACTCTTCGATTCGATTCCTTTTCGCATTGAGAGATTCTTCCCAAAAATTCTTTCCAGGTTGGAGGAGCAGTGGTGATTTTCGAGGTGTCGAGGAACGCGCGCTCGGAGGAAGCCAAGAGAAAGGAGGAGGCGAGGAAGGAAGACGAGAGGAGGATGAAGGAAGAGGTATGATCCATGGGTTTTTCTTTTTTCTCTTTCGATCTAGCTCTCTTTGGCAGGCGATCATGTCAAGAATCTCCGGAGTGGAGACGCGATTGGATGTCATCGAGGAATTGCTGCGAGGGAGAGGATAACTTTCGGCCGAAGAAACTTTCGTTTTTAAATATCTTCTTACTCCAATTTTGGAGGCCCTTGAATTAGGGTTCTTGGCTGTATAAAATTCGCTATTGGGACTAGGGTTCTTGGTCAGTAGCTAGGGTTCTTTGGGCATCGGGGAGGATTTCCTTGTTTATCCTTGCGCTTTCATGGGTCTCTCTGTGGATCCGATGCAGATGCACGGTATACCAGCTGCTAATCCTGGTTTCTGAGATGCCCCTTTTACTAGCAGATCTGTGATGGTTTTTTCACTGCGTTATCTTTCCCAGTGCTCCTGGAAGCGTGAGGAAATCCTTTTCGCTGAGATCTATTTCATCAGCCCGGTGATGACCACTGTCTTAACCACACCGAATTTGTGGCTGGGCGCTCTCGTTTTCTCGGCAGGGATGAAGTTGCGGTAAGAGGGGTTTCGCATTGGCGGCGGCCCTGGCTTGTTTGATCGAGCATTTGTTTGGTCTCCTTACGAGACTGGGCTCGAGAACGAGTGTTGGGTCGTTTCCTTTGTGGGTCTCGTCTCTTTGCTGCGAATGGATTTGTCGAGAAAGAGAGCGCTCGGTTGTGTGTGGAGAAAACATGGCCTTAGTCTGAGGGCTCTCTTTTTTATTCGGTGTGTCCATCATCCATAGCAAGCTCTCTCCACAAAGCGTTTCCTACTATCAATGGTGACTACCATTGTACAGGAGATAACCGAGACCAGCACCCCAATTGCAAAGCTCACCGCAAGAACTGCTCCCAATCCACCATCGCCATCGCCATGGTCAGCACGATTCGTTGCTGTTGGTGGTGATGTGATGCATGATGCTAGAGGGAAACCACACAGACCGGCATTTCCAGCATAGCTGCTCGGATCAAGTGTCCAAAGCTGACCACCCTGTGGAATTGGACCGGACAAGTTGTTATGCGACACATTCAACCCTGTGAGGGACTGGAGAGACGAAAACGAGCTTGGAATGCTTCCTTGGAGATCATTGAATGACAAGTCCATCCCTATCATTTTCTTGAGATACCCGAGCTCCACGGGGATTGTTCCGGACAGGAAGTTATGTGCAACACTGAGGTAATTGGCGTCCTGCATGCTCCCAAGCTCCCGCGGGATGTCTCCCACCAGTCTGTTAAATGAAACATCGATGAACGCAGGGCTGGTGGTGGAGAAACCATAAAAGCTTGCTGGAAGGAAACTTATGGAGCATTTGCAGCCACCGCTCTTGGCAGAAAGTAGGCTCTCCATTTCTTCCAAAGAGATTCCTTGTAGGATAAAAGTGTTGTCGATGCAACCACATGTTTTTATCCCTGCTGCTAGCTTCAAGCTCGTCCCAGCAACGTTGGATTTGGCAGATTTGGTGCCTGTGAAACCACTCAAAGAAGCTGGAATCCTCCCGCTCAAGCTGTTTCCACGGAGATCTATCGTCTGCATGGTCATGTTGCTGGGCAGTTTGCCCTGCAGGCTGTTGTTGCTCAGCTGAAGCACTAGCATCTCCTTTGCGTGCTCCAATGAATCAGGCAACTCTATTACTCAAGCATAACCATTGGAGGCCCTTTGTGCTGGACAACAGCTCAGGTGGAATGTTTCCACTGAGATTGTTGAAAGTGAGGATGATCTCGGTGAGGTTACTGCACGATGCAAGGTTTTGGGGAAGCTGCCCCTGGAGGTTGTTTACCCACGCGAGAAAGTGCTCGAGCTTGGGAAGTTGTTTGCATATGCTGCTTGGAATCTCTCCTGTTAACGAATTGAAGCTCAAATCCAACATCCTAAGGCTAGAGCAATTCATGACGCTGTCCAATACCCTTCCGGTGAGCTTGTTGTTGACCAGGATCAAGCTCTCCAGCCTCGAGGAGTTGAGCGATGGACATAAGGTTTCCCTGGTTGTGCTGAAATTGTTTGAGCTAAGATTAAGATGCTTGAGGTTCTCATGAATTGCAGGAACCGGACCTGTGAAGTTGTTGAAGCTAGCGTCGAGAAATTCTAGCGATGGTAAGGAGTGAATAGAGGGAAATGACGTGCCACGGAAGCTGTTGGAGGCCAGAGAGATTTGCTGTAGATTAGTACAATTTTTAAAAAGATCCTCTGGGAGTTCTCCGGTGAGATGATTGTGGGAGAGGTCTAGATATCTCAATCTCTTGCACTGTGAAAACAGTAAGTGGGGAAGCTCCCCACTAAAGAAGTTGTTGGAGAGATCCATTACTTCCAAAACGCTGCCTATTGGCACCTGAATCTTACCCTCAATTTGATTGTTTGAAAGATTGAGAATCTTTAGACCTTTGCAGACTAGCATAGCATCAAAATTGGTCGTGAAAGACATGTTTTGATTACCCGACAGTTCGATCAACTCAAGTGAGCAGGCTTGTTTGGAGGAATTCAAAGCATCAGTGAAGTTGCTTCCCAAGACAGATAGCTCGAGTAAGAAGGGCAAAGAGTTGATTGTGGAAACCAAGAGCGACCCCGGAAGTGTTAAATTCTCAAGTGCAAGAACGGAAACGCGGCCTTTCGCCGTGCAGGCTATGCCATTCCAGTGCCGGCAGAAGTTGACACTTGTATTCCAGCTGGACAGAGTTTTAGATGGATCATCCACAGAGTTTTTGAAGCTCAAAAGCACAGATGAATCCTCTTTTGCATTCGAGAACGAGAAGATGAAGGAAAAAACGAGAACAACAATCACTATGCCTGAACCCATGAAGCAAAGCAGAGACACTCTGAGTTTCTTGCCTTTTTATGTATGGTTTCCTCCAATTTGGCATATGTATGTGCACTTGGAGTCAATAGAATAATGAATATGGTCAGTCAAAATGTTTGATTCCAAGGAAATATACATATGCACTTGGAGTCAATAAAAAATAAATGTGGTCAGTCAAAATGGTTGGGAAATCTAACTGCAGAGGCCAAAAATCTATGTAAATCAACATCCTTTCTCAAGATATTTTGAGAATAGGCCACACAAATTTTTGTGAATAATAGTGAGTTCTTAAAATATACATATATTTTTGTGGACACAAGGCAACAGGCAAGTATGAGGTTTCAAATATTTTATATTTCGCAGGGTTAATGTTATGGCTGCAGCATCAGTGCTGCCACTGCACGCCTTGGCATTCAATCCCTCCTCGCCATCCACAGGGCTAAATGGGATTCTAGTATATTTTATCATCTAATGGTGGAAATTCATTTATTTCAGTTTATAATTTATAAACTTTCTTAAACACCGGCTTAGTAATGTTTTTTGCAATTGTAAATTTTGTCTCTGAGCAGTGTTCAATAATTGTTGTCTCTATAGTGGCTTTTCAAGACTCTAAATGTTTTGGCTCCTGATATTTTACAGATCATCTAGTTTATCATTGTGCTTTTATGGATAGCTCATTAGATTTGATGTTTGAGTTAATTTCCTCATCTTGCTATTTTTGGTGATGATTGATTATCGTTAGGATAGTTAATTATTTTTATTAGAGGTCTTTCTTGATTGATAATGAATAATTTGTCATTCACCATATAGTGAATTATTTTTCAATAATAATTATGCATCTTTAATAAAGGGGTGATTGACAATCTTTAGTCATTGATGGCTTATAGCTTGATTATATATTGTGTCTTAGATTATTCTTTTAGGTTTGAGATATTGCTGATGTTTATTTTAGCTGAGGGTCTTGGATCTGGCCGGAGGCCATAAGCTGGATGGACTAGGAGTGCACAAATATATGGGAGTGGACTTCTCCATGAAAGAATCAGGGAGGCCGAGCTCAAGCCCTAAGAGCTATGACAGCCAAGTTTGTGGAGTTCGATTGTTTCTCGTCACGTTTGCCTCAAGATGTCACAGCGGAGGGACCGTATGACGCTTGCAGCTGCCAGCTTGCAATACATTACGCTGCATCCAACGAGGCTACCGCACGTACAGCCCTGTACAACATCTCGTCGTCGCTCAAGCCGGGCGGATGGTTTGTAGGCACCACGGGTGGTTTTGGACAAGCTTAAGAGGGTGGGCAACACGACAACGAATACGACTTTGCACTGGCGGGCGTGGTCATTGACTGCAGTACCTTGTGTTTCTTGATGCGTGGGAGAAGCTTGCAAGGGAGTATGGTCTGGAGCTGGTCATGCCTGCCAATTTCCAAGAATTTGCTGGCAAGCACAGGCTGGGCAGGAAGGGTGACGGGCTCACAGCCGCGGAGGCAAAGGTTTTCCCCCTGTATTGCGTCTTTGCTTTCCAAAAGCTCCCCTGTATGAGCAAGAATAAGAAGCGCAAAGCCTCTCAATTAAACTTCGTTGTTTGCAAGAGGCAGCGTTCCCTGCTCTCATCTGCATGGTCACACCACAGAGTCTCTCGGCCATCTCTTCAAACACAAGCTCAGCATTTCACAGCATCCTGTTTTGCGACGACAGAGGAGCGAGTTCCAAGATAAGAAGGCTTTGCCTTTTTCAGATGACAAACCCAGCCAAAATGGAGTTCTAAGTTACTAAGCTATGGTTTGCGATCGAAAACTTCTTTTGCTCCCGTTTAGAGCGTTCCACGAGCATCGAGAGGAAGCATCTTAAAGCGTCTTCCATCCTTCCGCAGTGACTAAATCCCAGAAACAAGCACGTAAAAGAGATTTGAGGCCTTGTAGATGCCAGTAACATGCAATCACGGTATCACACTCTGCTCATTCAACAGGGCTTTCGTGTCGTCATCAAGTCCCGAACATCCATACGCGCTCGTAATTACTGTCCGGCACGATTAATCTCGTCGACTACCATGCTCGAGGTAGTCATGGATTTGAGGCGCACGCTGGCCAATCTCACGCGGTAGGCATCGTGTTCAAAGAAGCAATGCATCTTCCAGAAGCATGTCTCAAAGTCTACCAGATCCCCGATGTGGGCATATGCAGCAAGCATTTTGAGGACCAGGAGAAGCGATTCTTGGGTCGAATTCCACCCCTCGCGGCTGCCACATAGCCCATACATCTTGACGAGCTAATTGGAGAGATATGGACACCGAGATGCAAATGAGCTCCTGATCAATCACGAATCACAGGGTTGCTCGTCCTCCCCAGATCTGTGAAAGTCTTTCATGTCTTGGCCAGCATTGTGGTGTTTGCGCCGCGGCTGGCACATGACCTGCAACAGGGTCCTCTTCTTTGTAGTCCATCCCTCTCGCACCTTCAGTGACTTCTCCCACACCCTGGAGGACGAGGCTCGTCCGACGAGCACCAACTTAACCACCGAGCTTCTCGAGCTCCACACTCTGGAAATGGATCAGGATCAAGCGCAATTGCTTGGGCTTCTCAACCAAGCGCGAGAAGACACTCTTGCTACGGCGAGAAGCTCGCCAGGAATGTCTACATTTGGCACCTTGTTCAGGACATCCCCAGAAATGTTTGAGGGCATCCGTCAGAAACGCCATGTTGGCTGCGTACGCCCAAAACAGCAGCCTCAAGCAATCTGAGCTTGTGCTCGACTCTATGCTGGAGAGAAATCGCCTGGCATGGACTCTATGCTGTCACCTTATGCCGATTGCGGGAATATCGATAAAGCTTTGAAAACGTTTGCCCACATGCCAGAGAGAAATGTCGTGTCCTGGAATGCTTTACGTTGGTGTTACAGATTTGAAGAGCACTTACGGGAACATTCAAAAGCACAACCGGATGGCATGGACGTCGAAAATCTCTATTGCCCAACACAGGTATCTGTCAGCGGCATAAGCTGGAACATCTCTTGCCGTCGGCCTGTGGAGCGGTGACATGGACTTCTCTATTCGCTCATAAAGCTCTGCGGTTTTTCTACGGTGCTTCTGGAAAACGTTTGCAGCTGATTGATTGCAGGGCCCGGTATGCCAATGATTCTCGTGCGCTATGTGAGGGTTCTCTTTCTTATCTTCTTGCAAAGGTGCTGGCCATTTCTATGCTCTTTTGCGTTTGTTTACTCTACTTTCATCCACAGGTACAGGTTCTCAAGTTACAATACGGAACATTCATGCCAGATACGTATGATCCAGAGGTACTGTCCGTGCAAATTTGCAACGCGTTGATTCTTGTGCCGCAGGTACTTCGGTTTTCAAACCTACTTGACTCCGTGGTGGTACCATAGATGCTGAAGGTGCTGGGAGTTCTTTTGCCATATGAGTATCTTTTGTGGCATGGCAGAGATCCGGCCGTGAAAATGAAAACTGGTTTTTGTCACAAGTCCGTGGAGATCAATTACTTGTTCGCCTACTCGTCCAGTCCCACTGTTTCCCGGAACTTACACTTGGCAATTATCTGAATAGGTGAGACTCTGAGCTACATTTTATGTCCTATGGATGCGCTTACAGTAATGATTAAAAGAAATGAGCTCTTGCTGTTTCTTCAAGGTAATTTTGGTCTTCTTTGTCAGATGGTGAAGAGCATGGATAAAATGGTATGCTGCAATCTTTTGTTGGTTAGTACTTGAGTGAGCGGCAGCTATACGAGATGATATACTTGTTCAAAGTCTCTTGTGTAACAAGAAAGGTGAACAAAATAGCACAACCATGTTGTTTCAGTTACTAATCTTATTTAGCAGATCGAGCTTTGATGGCAATGCCTTTTGGTAGAAATGTGCTATCTATTGAACATTTGGAGAAGGAGCTTGACTTGGAGGTGATCTTCTCTTTCAGAGCTCTGGCAGATGTAAGGATCTCTATCTCAGTTTAAAGTGGCAAGTGCTAGGTGAAGACAATGGAGGAAAATAGTCTGGTTGCTGAATCTATTAGTCACCCCGGCTAAATGTTTTCTCCCTTGGAGGAAGCCCATGACTATGGATTCTATGGTTGAAGTGAGGAATTCAGATACTCCTTCTTAAGCCAATCATTTGTTGTCTCACAAAGATCATCTAAGAGATTCAAAGAGCAATGCAAGAGTATAAAAGAAAAATGGTAAAGAGCAAGGTGCAAACCATTCAATTTTGTAACTTAGCAAATCAAATTCATAAATATAACATATTATGTGACTCATTTACATTATTAAAAAAAAGGTACAAACAAAAAATCATAAAATGAGATAAATGGAAAAGATATAAGGAAATATATAATGTGTAATGATTATGTACATGCATAGCTAAGTCTTGGCTAGGTGTGTCATATGTATACATATAGTTGTTGTTAACTCTATCTCCTCTTGCACAGATGCATAGAAAATGAAAATTGGTATAAATTTTTAAATTTGAACTTTATAACAAGTTACCCAATCTCATTCACCCACTGTTGCTAAATTTATTTCATCTTGCATACATGCAATAAAAATAAAGATTGGTATAAATTCTTAAATTTAAATTTTATAGAAAATTTAGTTTACCCAACTTAGTACTATTTAAACCCAATGACATTTTAACTTCTTGTTTTGGATTGTAGTTTATTGTTTGAACTCTTATAAATTACTTTTAAGTTATTTTCTTTGGTTATTTATAATTTATTATGCTTCCTTATAAATTCATGCCCTCATAAATATAAGTTAAAAATTTTAAAAGCATAATTAAATCAAAAATTTCCCACCATTGTATTTAGTATAGTATGAGTAAATTAAACCAAAAATTTCCTAATAAGTCATTCAAACTAATATTACTCAACTCAAAGAGTAGTATATAGATTACCTCAATATATTCTAAGATAATTAACTAATTGAAAAAAGATTTAAACCCTAATTTTTTTGTTACTTATAATTTGCTCCACCGCATGATGTAAAACTAAATAGATAG